CGGACAGGAATTTACGGTATCGGCCGAGGTTTAATTTAAATTTGTTTTCCCGAAATTGTCTAGGACTCGAACACGATAAATGCCGTAGTCGTCATAATAAATAAGATGGGTGTGCCGACAACCGTCGCAATACCAGTGACTGGCCACACAGTATTACCCATACCCATGTCTAGTGTCTGTTATGCAGTTTTCAATCGTATTTCGTTGTCATTGTCCACAACGCGCATACGCATAATAATTTATCGTAATTTTATAATGATTTATTTTCGTCAAGGAGGGGATATACAGACTTTTGAACCCCGGTTTGTACAATATTTAACACGGGTATTATATTTTAACAGTCCGACCGTCTAAAGTACCGCGATGACGGTGCGGAAAGGTGCACGGACTAGTGAAGAAACGGCTGCGGAGGTCGTCCGTCAGCGCACCGGTGTATACCGCGTACGCATAATAATATAATTTATATAACACGCACACGCTGTGTAATTTCGCGCACACCCCGTACACCGATTGTGTCCTCTGCAGGTCAGCGGGTACGTTACAAGGTTTCGCAATTAAGTGCTTGTATATACATAACGTTCTCGTCCGTATAGTAGGTTCATTCGAGTACGTTAGGTACGTACCCACAATACGTAAATATTATTATTATAAAGTCTTCCTCGCGCGGTTATTTGCATAAAAAGGACTTACCTACATCGAAACGCGGTATTAATATCCTATTACCTATACGTATGTGTACAAGGTATACGTGTATAATGACGCGTTACCGCGACTTCATAACATCATAATGCATTTTCAGAGTGTACCTATATACCTGTCGATACGGTCTTGGAGGCCGAAACCGTACTCCGGACAATTCGGAAATCCTATTCGCAAAAACGCGTTTCGTCGACGCCCGATCTGCTAAAGTCGTGTGCGGCGCGTGGTTACGGGTTAGGTTAGGTCAAGTAAGGTTGCCAGACGTTAACCGTCACAAAAGTCGGTTTTCCAGTTAATAGAATTAATATATTTTTGGTGCAGTCGATCCCGAATCGACACGAGCCGGCGCAGTTTTACCTTAGCAGGGTTTATCTTTTTATTTTAATTTTTTTTACTCATAAAGTCAATTTTCAGATTAGTTTTATCCGCAGGATATTATTAACTTCTCCAGAGAAAAATTACAAATAACACGGCGGGGCGATCCATTTATCACGAACCAACAGTTTTGTCGGAGTGAATTTAGTGATTTTGATTTTGGTTTTATTCACTCGTTAAACAGAACCGTTTAATATTTGTTTTAAAACTTTTATAAAATTGTCGCCCCTAATTCTTTATACCAATTATGCCCTCAATGAGTGTGTACTTAAGATGTTTAAACATTAATCCCACTCTTTCCTTTTCAAATACAGATTCGAATAGACAATATTCTTTGCGCATTTTAATATGCGTAAAAAGGAAAGCTGCTTTTTTAAAACCAATAGTGTACAGACATAAATACCTATTGCGTTTAAGGTATAAAGTATAAAAATGAAAAAAAAAAAAAGAATGTTAAGATTGATCGATGTCATAACAATTTTAGAAAAAAAAAAACAGAAATCAAATCCATCTGAAATTCCACTAAAAAAAATCTTCAGATCGTGATAAATTTATCTCCTTGCGATATACAATATTAATAAATATGCATTTAATTTCGTTTCACTGCTCGCCAGTGTCCTATACAATAATAATTAATACGAACGAAACAAAGTGTTAAAAAAAAAAAATAATAATAATAATAATAATAATAACAATAATAACAAAATAGCAATGCTGCCGTCACAGCGTGTTGGAACATTTGTTCTGCTCTTTTTTTGCGTGACGGGTCTCTGCAGATAATATCGTGACCCTATAATAATAACGCGCGTACATAACAATATTGATTTGAGTTTTCGTTCGAAAAATAACACGACAGTCCGTTTTTTTCCCCAACGAATTCCTTTCCGGTATGAATTTATCCTTTTTTCTTTTTTTTTTTACCCACCGTCGTACGCGGGTATAGGTATACACGACGGCGCATATAGTAATATTTGTGCGATACGTGTAATATACGACAAATCCGATGGCGTGTAAACAATCTGCGCGCCACATCCGTTCGTTTTTTGACACACGTTCCAGACTCAGATATCCGATTTTATAATATTATAATATAGATTTGTTTTGTTTCGTACGAAATGTAGTTTGTCGAGTTTTACGGTTGCCCCTCCCCCGAATAACACTCGAATATATAAAAACGAAAAAGAAGCCGGACAACACTCTTCGCCGTACCGTGTTTATGAGCTAAATGCTATTATACTATTACGTATAATTGCGCCAGCGGAAAGTTGGGAATTTCCGGTTTAAATACTAAAGGAATCGATAAAATCATTGCAATTTAAAAACCGAACCTCTAGTCATTTGTCGTAGGTTTTTTTTTTTTTTTTAATACATTTTAGAAATATATAAGTAATATACTGTTGGGAATTTTTCTAATTGTTAAAATAAAGTACCATCGTTTATCGGCATGATAAAAAATCTAAGCATTTTTAGAGATTCGAAAAGTGTTTTCCGAGAGAGAAAAAAACACGTCGCAGTAAAACTAAAAGATAGTTTTTACGCTCAGACACAAATATAGACAATTTTTCGTCTCTAAAACTATATAATTGTTTCGGTTATCTGCGCGCCTATATTAAAGTATATAATTTATTATTATTGTTGTGTTTTCTTTTTAGTAAACACGTTAAATAAAAATATTGATCAATTTTTTTTTTTTTTTTTCATTTACAATATATTATAATACAATAACGGTCAACCCACAAAAGTTTGATCAATTACGCGTTAAATTTTTATGAAATATTCAAAAGACATAAAATATACAAGTAATGAAACACAATAATAATTATTATTATGAGGTCATTGAATAATAATATTTCAAACGTCTCGGTTCAAACAAAATCATAATGGTCGCCTGAGCATTAAGTAGCTAGACTGTTTTTGTGCAGTTTGCCAAAAACACTTTGATAGTTTATTGGTTATCAATTTACCGTGATTGATATTTATAATTTTTTTTTTTTATTATTATTTATGTGCCTGCCCGATGATTTATTATTATAATAAAATATTAATGTCAGTTAAATATAATGGGTGATCAATAAAGCGATTTGCGTATCGATTCGATAATGTTGTTTGCGCGATAGCGTACAAATTATTGTAATACCAGTGCCGGGATGCTTGCGACTTTACAGAACCGATAACTATAGTTAAGCTGTAAAATTAATAAAAGCATTATCGACCGAACGCGGATTTTATTGGACTGAGTCAGTACCGTATAATTTACAAAGCAGTTTGTATAGTCACGTTGTCGTTTAATTATAATTTTGTAAAAATTTAATATTTTATGTTTTCGATTTCTATACAAATTGTTTAGTACACTAATAACCGCGGCCGATAACAATGAAAGTGGTTACAAACACGCACGGTTAATTTACACGAACACAACTATTTAAATAATGTAATAATTACTATACAGAAAAGAATAGCGAATATTTTATCAAATTATTTGAAATGTTCAATGCGAAAAATCGAGACGAACGAACGTTAATGTACGCGGAGTGTTTTTTTTTTTTTTTCAAGATTACACTTTTGATTCTCACTACTGGCATTGTTTCGTATTAAACATAGCGGTGACCAGTTAACGGTCGGAGAATATCATTATACTGTGACGGGTGGTAGGGGAGGGTGATTATCCGTTATATCCGTTATATCAATGGATACGTACGGCGCCGAATTGTGTAACTTTGCGTCTAAACGTTGTCGTCGACGTGGATTAAATGCTAGTTTGCGGTTATTAGTAATGGTAAAATCGCACGAGATATCGTTTCGAATTAGCCAGATATTGAGATCGAGGACAGGAGTAACTTAGAGACGGGCATAAACATCATAAATTATCTGTTGACAAACAATAATTCATAGATTTTTTTTTTTTTTAATAGTTAAAAGTCTGAAAACACGATTCGATGAATAAAAAAGTAGCAGTTATTACTACAAGAGTTTACAATGGTTACAGTACAGTTTGATAAAATATGCTGTATTTTGTTTCTCTCGTAGGTTCTTACAGTCTAGAGACGCACAAGCTGACGTTTATTAAAATAAACGGACGTAAATACAATTATTAATTTACAAGGTGCTTCATAGTTTATGTAATGAAAATATTACATTAACTTATAAAATGTGTAATTGAACAGAAGTCTTTGTAAAACGTGTTTAAATAATTAAAATATTGCGTAACTCAAGACCCATGATAATTTTGAACGAAAACACCTAACGCAATCACTCAAATACCAGAACGTATAGTGTTTGAGAACGTTTGGATTAACATTAAAATACTGATCGTTAACGTTGTTTAGACGAAAAGTATAGGTACTACTGATAACCGGAACCAATCAGTAAATGACAACGCCATTGACGATCACCCTCTGCGTTATAGGTTGTCTAGTTATTACAATACTCTTTGTGAATATCATTGCCGTGTGTGTTGTACAAGTATTTGTCCGGCGTTATCTCCGAAAATACTGACTCGGTTTACATTGAACAATGTTCTATTCGATATTGGTTTCGCCTTCGTTTTTCAGCGTGATTGTTGACCGTACATAATATAATGTAAAATTGTTTAAATGCAAACCTTCGATTATATTACCTACAGCCTACACGTTATTATAAATCTAGAGCTCCTTATTTCACGTATACACGAGAAGTAAATATTTCGAATATGCAAAACCGCGTACTATAAAAACCCGTGTAAACGTGCAACTGTTCACGTTTATACAAGTACCAGTGGCGTACCGATAGGGTGGCATAACGAGTAACGAGCCACGGGCCCGCGGCATTGAGTGGCCCCCGAATTAAGACCCGAGGCATTGTTTTTCAGTAGATGGACAGTTAAATAAAAAAAAAAAAAAAACAGGCGATGTCCTTGTTTTGTTTATTTAGTAACACGAGTAGACGGACGGATGTATGAAAACAGACCACAGTGTCCTTATTCTTTTCTTTTTTTTTCTTTACTTTAAACTGCGTAAATTGGGCCCCGACTTGGATTGTGCACTTGGTCAGGGCCGGTGCTAACAATTATTGATGGTTAGGGATGTACTGTACACATAAAATCGTATTACTTTTTTTTTTTTTTGATAATTAGCTATTTTGCTTTGGTGAATATGTTAAATTGTCAAGGTGTTTTAGACGAAAATTCAGTGTAGCATTTTTTTTAATTATTTTTTTTTTTTTTTTTTAGTGGCGGTTTTGGTTTTGGGCTTTGCCGTAGCGATCTCTATGCAGCGACATATTTTGCCATGAGCATATTAGCAGTTTTAGTTACGCCACCGACGAGTGCGCATTTTTCATTCACGCGGACTCTGTGTTCACGTAGCCGCCAATTGTTTAATTCACGTTTTCAATCGAGACCACCGATATTAATTAATTGCTCGTTAACGAATCCTAACTCGCCGACCGAAAGTATACGATAATCCCCGAACCTTTGGCCGATAACTGGCGTTTATATAACACGAATCGCATTACTCGCGTTACGAACAAACGTTTAATATTATTGAACATTTAACGAGTTCGATCGGTGTTATCGTTCGGCGACCGTTGGCCGACGTCCGTTTTATTTTTCATATTCGCATTGTTATTATTATGCGCGCGTATAAATTATTTACCTGCGGCAATAACATCGCGTTTTATTTGTTCGCCCGAAAATCATAGGACAGTATACAGCTACGAATGTACAGCCTGACCCCGACAACACGTCAAAACGGATTATTTGATTATTGTTTCGCTTTCATTATTATTTTCGTTTTTCAGTCGATGGTACAAAAGGTCGCGATGACTGCGATGACGTATCCTTGAAACGCGTACGCCGTACAACGGCGGTAGGGGAGCGGGACGGTGAAAAACCGCAGGTAAGAAATTTAATAGGTATTCTGTGATTGTAATTAAATATAAATTACGTCCGCGTATTGAAAACCCGACTTATATTTAAATAAATTCTCCGTATTATTAATCATGTGTTATATATATAATAATATTTAACTGTTTAGTTGTTTTTTTTTTTCTCTCGTATTTCGGCGGTAAGTACTAAGTGAATTTTAATGCGAATTATTTTCCGTATACTAACATAATATTACGCGTATACGCAAGGGGGAAGTGGGGAATAAAGGTAATTTATCAAGAATCATAATAATAAATATTATGCGATTTTTTTTCTATTTTTTTTTTTTGCGTTTTTAGTCGGACGAAGGTACGACGAAGGTTAAAAAAAAAAATATAGCTTAAAAATTACGCGCGTTTAGGGAAAAATTGAGCGGCAAAAAATGCATTATATACGGTACATCAGCAAAATTACAATAATCCGCGCGTGCGGCACAATATATACAATTTTAAAAAAAGAACGTTTTTCATACTCGAAAACCCTTCAGATATTTATTTTTATAATGTATATCTCAATTACTAATAATTTCGCTCTACGGTTTGGCGATAACAATCATATTTTCTTGAGTTAATTAAAATATTAATAATTTTGTGATGGCAATTTATTAATAATTATTATACGATAAACCTACGCGTGGTAATCAATATTAATGTTATCTATCACGTTATCGGTCAATTTCGTTATTGATTTTTTTTTCTAAATATTATTATTACAAAAATAGTGTGTGTACCCAATTAAATAAATTTAATTAAGAATAAATTTATTTACATTTTTTTTCCGCGTATTTCCAAAGGTTAGGTTAAATACGCCCGTACGCACGCCTAATATCACATATTTTCACGAGAAGAATCGAAATCGAATATTTCGATTGAGGGCATTTTTGACGTTATCGGTTTACAAAACACTATTGGTATTTCGTCGTTTTTCCCGTCGAATTTTTCTACGGTACGGATGATAAATAACGTTTATAACATTACAAAATAAACTGTATGATTTAATAATGTCAGATTCAGTGTTACAACAAAGATGAAACATTGATATTAACGGAATAAAAATATAACATTGTTATTAATTATAAAATTACAATCAAATCGTCGCCTATTTATTAGTGTACGGGTAATAAATTATAGTTTTCAGTTTATCGTATTGTATTCTAGTCGGCATAATCGTCTAGATGGTAAAAATGGTAGATGGACATCATTGATCGAGGTTATTGGGTTTTATTTTCGCCCAATGAATTCTGAAATCGCAAAAATACATTATATTATTACTCCGGTTCTTGTCGTTCAAGCTGTTATTTCAACGATAATTTACCTTGAGGTCTTCGACGTGTTTAAAAAGAGAGTCGATCTGTTTCTTGGTGAATTCTCTAATTTCCTTTTCAGTCTCGCTGTTTCCTTTTGCTTTGTTCGAAAGCTCGGTTGCGTTGTCGGTGATGTACTTGAGAGATTTTTCGAATTTCTCGGTCAATTTCGCCGGGGTCAAATCCTGCGGCAAGTTCTTCGAGTACTTGTCGACGGCCGATTCCCACTGTTTGGTGGCCTCCTTGACTACATCGGACACTCCGGTTTTGCCTTCGAACTGCGTGAACAAAAACATATTATCATGGATATGCTTAATAATATTATGTATAAACTACAACACTTTTAACGGGTGAGTAAACAAAATAAAAAATAAGAAATAATTTGTGGGTTTTATGAACACATTGAAAATATATATTTTTTTTGTCACCGTTCTTATGTGTTATTACTTAGGATATGTACAATTATTTTTCACCGTACTGTTTTCGATAGAGAGGCCAATCCAGATTTGAAATTGTTGACGAACTCGTTGTAGTTGTTTTTGGCCAAGTCTGTGGCTTTTTGGCCGTTTTCTCCAAGTACTCCACTTATTGACGTTGTCAAATTTTTCAGTGCAGACTCGAAAGGTTCGGTCCATTTGGTCTCAGTGGGTCTGGCGTTAATCTAGAAAACATCAGATGTTGGTCGCCACGTGTTAAAATAAACGTAGATAATACAATTTCTGATGCTCAATGCTCGCGTTTGTTTTCAAAAAAAAATCAGACATTCTTCAATATATAGGCGGGAAATTGAGAAAGTTAGGAACGAATATTGTTATATATTTTTAAGTAATTCAATTTATATCTGTTTTCTGTATACAATAACGATAACCTATTGACTGTTGTATTTTCAATGGAATATTATATCACATTGATCATTAAAAAAGTATTTGAAAAAAAAATTATATTATTTTGTAAATACAACAATGTAAAAAAGATGGACATAATTCGTATGACAGGTGGCCCGTTATTGTAGGTGAGAAGTCTGGAAGGTGGGATACAGAGGGGAATTTAATTTATAAATATTCGCAACGATAAACTATTGGTAACGAAAAACGATTCGGAGCGAAGTTCGGTTATACATTTTTTAAAAGGGTTTTCATGTATCAAAAAACGGTTTCTTTATTCGCCAACTAGACTAAAATGCAAAACAATGATCACTTGTCATTTTTTTTTATTGAAACGATATTCCCGTTAGAAAACATAAAGCGTAAAAATTGAAAATCATGTAATCGTTGTGCCGTAAATATTTGTCCGTTTATCCTTACGGTTTTTTCCGGTCTTTTTCAATTAATATGAAAACAGCTTGGGAAATCGAAAAACTAACCTCCTTAATTAATATATCAACCTTTCAGGAAAATGCTATACATGATACACCGGAACATGATTTCTGGTAAAATATAAAAAGTATAAGGAAAAAGAATAAAAAAAAATAAACATCATTGTAAAATCAATACGTTCTTCACGACGTTCCGAATCTAAAACCTCAAAAAATATAAAATAATATAAAGAACGCCAGTGTATTTAAAATTGCACTACGTCTAGACCGTGTAAATATTGTACAACTAAACAGTGAAATTTACCGGTTCTCATACGATTATTTACAAAAATTAAATTAACAATGACGCTTGAACGTCTCCGGTGTTCTCCAAATCAATTCGGCGACCTCCTGTAAACTAGATCAGATTTGATTCTGGGATACACGGAGTTGACGTTTGGGTCGAGATTTCCGAAAAGAGGAAAAATTAAACGTAACCAGAGGCAGAGGTATTAAAAGAAAAAAAAAAAAAAAAAACAACAATTCAAACAAAATTGAAATAATAATATATTATGTTACTTACTTGAGCGACCGACATCGCGATGGCGACGGCCAAGAGAGCTTTATAGGCGACCATTGTGTTCGTTTGTGTTTGGCGATTTAAGAAAAACAAAAACACAAAAATAAAAAAAAATAATGTAATATCGACACTGGCGGAGTCTCGGACAATACTGTTTCGGAGCACCGGACGTACCGTTCGTTTTATAGGAACCGTGGGGCGGGGACGTGGTGTAGCGCCGGAATTATTGTGCACGGACCTTTGACACCGATCCGTGTGTATTGTATGCACGGTGATAAGCCGGCGGTTGATTATATATTATTTAGGTGGGTACCCGAAACTGTTGCTACCGTATACACGTCGGTAGTTTCCGAAATATTGTTGTTTATGACGATGAACGATGACCGCGGCGTGGACCCCATTAATTGTTGTCACCCGGGTACTAAATATCGACGAACACAATGTTATATTATAGTCGCGCGGCCCGTATATAGTTTCACAATAATATTATTTTTCTTATTATCGTACAGGTACAATAATGTTATAATGTTTACACCGTGTGTTTTTCGTCGATTCCGTGTTGATTTTTACGCGCCGGAATTGTAAACAAACGGAACGTCGTCTCGATCGAACTGTTCACAATATTGCCGGTGGCCGTAAGAAAAATACAAAGTATAAAACTCGACGGGAATTTATCGCACGGTCGATCGAACGGCCATCGATATTAAAACACAATATCATAATTACAACGCTTCATAATACAATCACGACGCGGTGAACTCTAAAATATCAATGCCGTCTTACTCGATCGATCGAATCAATCACAATATCGCGTGTTTGTCGGGAACGATCGGTTTCGTTAAATGTTTTATCGGCTAAAAGACATTATGTAAAAAAAATAATTAAATAAACCGCTGTAAAATCAATACATTCATCGCTCAGCTCAGAATCTAAAACGAAACGAACGTACTCTAGTGTTTTTAGAATACGTCGTAGTAACATTAGCCGTTTTTCCGTTCCTAAAACCGGCGGTATACTGAAAATGCGTGCAAATCTAGAAAGTTCCTATAGCTTATTTGATTAGAGTAACATTTCTAACGGAAAAGTTGTGAACAGAAAAAAAAAACCACGTCATACCTAACCAATACATTCCTCTCTTCGTTTAGTCTAATTCTCTGTGAAAAAAATAGTAATTAAATGTTTTCTCTAATTGATAATAAAAAATATCGATTTTTGGTCGGTTGGGACCCGTTAAAAAACATAGACGTCAAATTATAATACCAAATACTGTGACGTCACATTATATATTAACGCTTAATCTGTGGAAAAATAAAGAAAACGTCATGCCGCCCACTGAACTACCGTTAATATTTAATCGATGCTACATGAATTATTACTGAAATGTAAAAACCGAAAAAAACAGAATGTCGAAACATTATACATTTGTATATTGTACATTTGTTTGTAAATTTGTAATTTTATAAAATATTAAAACTGCCAGAAAAAAAACAAAAAAAAAAAATGTACAATATTATATTATTTTTATGAACTCGGTCAAAAATTATAATGTTTTATTGAAATCGACACCCGTGTAATCAAATGCTTACGTAATATAACGAAATAAATACGTTTAATAATTAATGTACATTTTTTATTTTCTAGTTTTGCTCGTCTATGAATACGAATTTTTAAATATTTATAATTACCGTTATTTGTTGACGTTCGTGCGCACCGTGTACGGCTACAGAGTCTAATATTCAAATGTGTCAAAAACGTACAACAACTGTATAAGTAGACGCATTTTGGATCACGGGCAAAACTCTGATAAATTCAATAGACGTCAAAACTTAACATCAATGTACTCACTACTGTTTTGACGATCGTCGACAGTTTTTCCACGTTTTCTCCGATTATAGCATATTCGAAGATCGTTTTTTAACGTTTTATGGTCATTTTAATGAAAATATTATTCGTTTCAAGGGACATGTGTACGGTCTGTTTTTTTTTTACAGACGAATCAGACTCTAAGATGCTAAAATGTCGTCATTTATTGGTCTATAGTTAAGACCAGCCAATATACGGCGAAAAACTCGACACGCTCTCCAATGTTCGATAATAATTTTCAAAATATGTGCGGATTTGTTGATAAATTGTCTAGGTTATCAATTAGGAAGTAGGTTTTCGATTAAGAATTCGATGCGCACAAAATAAATACAAACGTAATGTGGTTAATTGGAGCTCTTAATTTGGGAATACTTCAAAAATGAAACTCGAGCCTTTCTAAATATACTAGAATATCTTTTAACAAACGCGTGTATATTTTAAAAATTAAAATCAGACTTTGGAAATTATGTCTCAGCATTTACTGTTTTTTTTTTTTATCTAAAATACGTAAGAAATCAGATGCGCTCCGAGCTCCTTTAATAGTTAAAAAGTATTTTTTCTGAGATTATTTTGCATCGTATGTTTACATAATGGTTATCATTATGGTTTATTTTTTTTTTTTTAGTAATCGCTTGAGAAAAGTTACGAACCCATTAACGAACACAGCGTGATTATTATTATTTATTACATCAATGATTGTATTTGATTAAGTTTTATAGTACTTAGTGCAAACGTACAAAGATTATTAAATTGCATTGGTAATTGGTTTTCAACGCCGAACACAATATTGAAATATTCATTTCGTCGTGTTTCTAAGTGACTTTTTCAATCATAATAAATAAATAACGTTCATTTTTTACAATATAAAAAAATGTATAATATAATATAATTGAATTGAATTCGTTGTTATAATAATAAATAAAATATTAATAAAAATAAAAATACAACATGTTATCGACAATATTACGACCTATCTAATCGTTATGGATAATTATAAGCAGGTACTGAATAGATAGTTATAATCGGCAGTAATTGCATAGTGTTATTCTAGTCGACGCATCCGTATAGATGGGTGTTAAAAATAATATGACGCGTTTCTCCGGGTTGGCTTTCAAACTTTCAAGCTTTTTTTTCGGTCAATTTACTCTAAAATCGCAAAACAAATAATTCGATAAATTATACTTCTGTTCATTTATTCGTTTCACACTGTCATTTCAATAAAAATTTACCTTGATAGATTCGACCTGTTTCAAAAGAGCGTCGATCTGACCCTTGGTGAATTCCCTGAGCTCCTTTTCAATATCGGAGTTTCCTTGGGCCTTCTTGGAGAGCTCGGTTGCTTTTTCGGTGATCTGTTTGAGAGCGTTTTCGTAATTCTCGGTTAATTTCGTCGGAGACAAATCCTGCGGAATGTTCTTCGTGTACGTATCGACGGCCGTTTGCCACTGTTTGGTGGCCTCCTTGACTACGTCGGACACGCCGGCTTTGCTTTCGAACTGTGTGAACGAAAACCATGTAGATATAGATATAAATGAACACGTTAAAGGCGCGTGTAAAAATGTTAATTATAAATAATATTATTTTCGTTTCCGAGTTTACGAAACATAATATACGATTCAATCCGAAAATATTGGTATTTTTCCGAACAGATCATAAGAAAATAATAAACTGTTATTAGATATTTTTTCGATTTAACAGAACGTCGAAAATATTAAATTTTTTCGCCATTTCTATATGTCATGACTAAGGCTCGAAAGTTATAAGGTGTTGCATATTTTTTTGTATGCACCGAATTTACAGCAGGTCAAGCTAGAAATACTTTCTATACGATGGACAGTTTAAAAATTGAACATTCAAAATGCATATTTTGCATATTTCGTTAATATTAGAGAAAAAGTGCTTATTTCGTCGATTTCCATTCATTTGTGTGCATATTTAATAATTTCTAAAAAATGTATTTTTTCTTTCTTAAACAATTTATTTTAAGTAATATTAAATTTCATTTAACGTAGTATTTTATTGTTATTTCTTGCTGTCTCAGTCTATTATTATTAATTTAACGACAACGATGAGGTTTGTGTTTAATTTTTATCTTTTTTATGAATATTAACAATGACAGTATATGTTTTTAAATAATAACATTCTAAATAATTGTTTGCATATTTATTACATTTTTTCATGCATATTTTAGAATTTTTTTGTAAATATTTTTCTTTTTTAGTTCGTATGACTTCCAAGCCTTAGTATAACTAAGCTAATAGACTAAAAAAATATAACTATTAGAGTCATTGTTTTTTTTTTTTTGTCGTACCGTTTTGGACAAAGTGGACAATTCAGAATTAAAACCGTTGACGAATTCAGTGAAGCTGTTTTTGGCCACGTCTGTGTATTTATGGCCGTCTGCTCCGACTAATGCATCTATTGACGATGTAATATTTTTCAGCGTAGTCTCGAACGGTTTGGCCCAGTCGGTGTCGGCGGGTCTGCCGTTAATCTATAGGTAAATCATCAAAAGTCAATTGCCACGTATTAAATTTGCATTCAATTTTGTTCGAATTTCGCGACAAAAATTCAGAAGAAACGAAATGTAATATATATCTGTACAAAACAATTAATTATTGTACGAAAAACGGTTCTGAATAGATTTCGTTTGCACACGTTTTGAAGGACCGCAATATTTAAGATTTGAAAAAAATACATTTCGTAAATTGTGTCTGTGTTTCCAACGTTTTCCCCCGGTTTTTCCCGAGGAAACAGCAGGGAAAATCAAAAAATTACTTCTTTACTAGTGTACTACTTTACGAAAAGTTTCTTTCAGAAAAGATGCTACGTTTGAAAATCGGAGTAAAATTTTTGGTTTGAAAAATTGTTCAGAGAAAAAAAAAACAAACATCATTGTTATTCCGCTCGGAATCTAAAATCGTGAAAATATCGAATGTCTCATAAAACGCTGGTGTTTTGAACGTTGCACTATGTCTACATAGAGCGTACTAATAACTTATCGGTGAAAGCTTAAGGCCTCTAAACGAAAAGCCGAAAATAACAGTAACGTTACTACTTGCATATCCCTGGTGTTTCCGATAATTAAACAAATTCCAAAAAATAAAATAAGTGATTTAGCAGATTAAGTAGATGTAATTTGATACCAGAAGCCACGGAGTTCACGATCGGAACGATATTTCCGTAAGAAAAGAGGCAGAAAAGTATAATAAAAAAAAAACAACACACACACAAATTATTAAAACTAATAATAAATATTGTATTACTTACTTGAGCGACCGACATAACGAGGGCGACGGCTAGAACAGCTTTATAGGAGACCATCGTGTTCGTTTCCGTTTGGCGATTAAAAACAAAAATATGTAATATTGACACTGACGGAGTCTTGGACACTACTGACTCGGCGTATCGGACGCACCGTTTTTTATACGTATCGTTGGGACGTTGTATCGTGACGAAATCACAGACCTTTGATACACACACTTAAATGTGTATTATACACGATGATAAGCCGGCAGTTGATTACAATATTTTTAATTGTGTTTTATGGGTGTTTACTAATGTATAATGTTTTCGGTTATCGAGCAGGTTTTTTACGTAGATACGAGCGATGACCGCTGCGTGGATCACTGTTATTATTCTTATTGCCGTTGACGTATTGGTATGATGTTTATTGTTTACACAGTGTTAATTCGGTAATGTTTGTGTTGATGGAAATGTCGATGACGTCATTATGTAGTGGAAACAAGTAGGAAAATCAAATACCGCCGAGAACGAATATTTCAAAATCGTCGGGTAAACTTATCGCGATTCTAAGATCGTCAATAACATCAATGCCGTCCTTTAAGTCGATCGAAAAAATCTTACTTTGTAAAAAAATTACAGTTTTTATTAACAGTTTGTATCGAACAAGCAAACACGAAACATATTACACCTTTTTTGATGTTAATGAATTGTATTCCGCAGTATCGTAATTGTCGTTCGTGTTTTTTTATAACTTTCGATATTGTCAAACAATGCGCTAAAATGCATTTTCGGAGTTCTAACGGTACCTACCTTATTCTTTGGCTCAAAAACGAAAATTATTTAACGAAAAGAAACGTACAAAAACACACAAATCAACATGACTATAACATTTTTGTGTGACAATTTTTTTAATAGAAAAAAGCTGCGCGTACAGCTCTTGGAAATATTATCCTCTTTAAATTTAGCCGCTTTGTTTAAATATCAATTTCTACCTAAACGTCACGATATTTATGTTCTAAATAACGTAATAATTTGACTACATAGCGAATGTTACATTTAAGAACTGTTGTTCGTTTTACACTCGTATACTCGTATATGTCCGTTCAATGTGCACAATATCGTCGCACAAATGACGCCAAAAAAAAAAAATCAGAATTTTTTCATCATCCTTTTTAAAAACGGTAAAAAAACCGTGTGAACACATTCGTTTGATTAAAGTTACCATTACGAGGTATTTTAATGTGTATGCGTGTCTTTTTTGTTTATCGTGTTTACGGTCCACGTTACGAAAAATGATTATCAATGATTAACGACAATAAACGTGCTAAACAATACACGTATGTCTGTAAAACATACAAAATCGGTTTCTCTTAGTTTTTCGGGAATTCGCATTAGGTTCGGAACATACCCGGAACACACATTTCGACAGAGTTCAAGTTTACATTATTTATATTTTGCTTATCTGTTATTTCGCTTATTATACAATATAATAGCTACTTTGTTGCGTGTGTAATTTATGTTTTTGTATTACGCTCGATAATCGATATCGCATATAGATCCGGGTTTTGTTCGATAATTATTTTCGAAACGATCCATTCGCCGTCAAATCGAATAAAAATGTACATAACGGCAATAATAATAATTATCATTAATTATTATAGTTTCACCGATTTGTACGGCTTTTCGATTGATGTAAAGGTATACGCGGCATTATTCGCTTCCTCTGGGGAGAAAGGAAATAGCAAATATAGACGAGTTTCGCACAATGCATTATCAAAACAAGATATTTACATACATTTGGAACGATTATAGTATGCATGCGTAGTGGTAATAGTCACGTTTTATCAATGTGGGAGGGGGGTTTAAAGGTGCAGAAGTTTAAGGGATTTACAATCTTTTTAACCTTATTTAAAGCTTAAACAAAAAAATAAGGGGGGGGGAACACTCAAACCCCTGTGGCTACAGTGTATGCATCATATTATGGATTTCGTATTCTGACCGGATGATATTTTTTTGAATACGTTTTTTACAATAACAGTTCATAGGCGTGTGCAGGGGTATACAGCTGCATACCTTGAACATCAAACCTGGATTAAAGGGGGAGAGAATTGGAGGGCACGACCCCGGGGTTTACAAAAACCATATTATGAGTCGAATCTAGTATTTGCGAAATATGTACGTTTTATGTTGTAATTAAATTTTAAGTAAAAATTACATTTTTAATTTAACAGCTGGTAAGACATTTCAATATATGTGTATATTTTTTTGGTACTAGTTTGTTATTGCACCGCCAGTATGCCGTAATAAATTTAACACCCCGCCACTCTTGTTATCGCCCCGCCAGACAATATGAAAAATAAAAATGTACATAATTAAATTGTATATTATTATAGGAACAATGTAAAAAAAAAAAATTAAATTGTATTTAAAAATGTAAAATTATAAATAAAATATTATTATTAAATTAATTAAATTGTATATTATACTAGCGAAAATGATCAATATCATAAAGTATGATAAAGTTAAATTTATTTTAAATTAGGATGGAGGCCAGAACTCAGAAATATCTGATAGTTATTTATGATAGTTTCAAACGCATCGTTCTCCAAGTCGTGTTCTTCGCATGGATTTTGCCAAGTACAATTCCAGAACATTTCCTTTTCAACTTATTTCCCCATTTAGCAGAATCCCATAACTTCTCGATGTTTTGAATGTGCTTCTCTGTGTCCGGATCAACCAAATATAGGTTAACAGTTTTTCGAATTGTTTGGCGGGGCGACAACAAATAAAATGGCGGGGCAATACATTTATAACGGCGAAACGACGGAGCGATAACAATAACAAGTACTATTTTTCTATCGGAATATTACAAGCTTAAAATAACTCTCGTGAGCGCTAGGGACAGACTTCTGCGTACCCTAAAAAAGAGGCCTACGCACGCTTGTGTATAACATGTAAGTCGAGACCGTCGACAAGTTACACTTGTTGTTTAACTTGTCAAAGTCGATTAAAAACATTTTAAAATAACTTTTTCGATTCGATTAAATTTATCCGTACACATTTTATAGGCGAATAGATATGACGGTTTTAGTCAGCAGAAAGAATGTGTGGAAGGAAATGAAAAGTACATTTCGTTTTTTTTTTGTTTTTGTTTTTTCCTGCAGGAAAACGTTCCCGTCCCGCACGACGAGCGTGAATATCGGTTTTAATGGATTGGAATCTATACATATATTTTATATAATTATGTCGTACATATTCTCGATTATAAAATTCCGTGTATGCTCGACCCGGTCCTGTGGAATGTAAAATTACTGATAAATTTTGCTTAAAATTGCACTGCTAATTCTTGTACTAGTTCCGGGAAAGTCTAGTGAACGGTTGCAATGGAAAACTCCCGCAGTTAAACGTCACTCAGAGAATTCGTCCTTAAAATACTAAAATTAGTGTACTTTCTTTTTTCATTTATTTTTCTATTCGCTACACGGGAGAAAATTGTATTTTAATTTATTTGTTTTCATTATAATCAATTGTGTTTCTACAGTCAATAAACAACACAATAAGGCCGTCGTACAATTCGAGCATTACAGAGTTACTCTTGAAGATTGAGAATTCGATTATTAATTTTGTTGTTTTGTTTTTTTTTATTTTTATTTTTATTACTTTTTAATAACAAGTTTGATATAATACTTTATAAGATATAACGAAACACGTTATCTATACAACTATATAATATGGTATAATACACGAGTGCACAATATATAGATATGGAACATTCGGGGAATAAAAAAAAATCCTCGGTTTCGAAAAATGTTCAGAAGTCTATAATAATACAGCAACGAGATTATTTTTCCATTTGTTTCTTTTGTCCATGCCAATTGTAGATTTATTAAAAAAAATAATACGACCAATACCTACATAATATATAATATATTATGTATCAATAAGATACTGGACGATAAGCATAGTGGAGAATAAATAAATCCGAAAAGTCATATTGTTAGATTATTTATACGGACCTTCTGGGAAAACGTATTATCTGCAATATGCGAAATTTAGTACATTTTTTTACCGAGCTCGTTTTCACTTCCGGCGTAAAAAACCAACAGAATAATCACTTTAAAAGATCGATTTGAATGGCGTGGGCGAAAACTACGTGAACAATATTGCGTGCCCAGAAATTTTCGTTGGAAATGGATATAGTAAATACCAAATATTATTCACGATTCGTGGATATACCGTAGACTCTTCCAAGAAGTATTTGACTCGAGAATGAGAATTTAAAAGCCGGATAGATGAAAAAGACAATTTTTATTCAATAAATCTACTTTTTTTTCTCGTAACTCGGCTAAAATAAATAATTTAAAGATAAAATTACTAAATAAACGCTCACAGTTGTTGTATTTTTTAAGCCAATGTGTGAGGAGGGGGGCTGATACAACCTCTAACCTCTTCCCCTTGAGCACTCTTCTGACAATATTATATTTTGTCCCAAGGTAAACAATTATATTATCGAATTCTTTCCCGGATAAAATAATAACGTTTTTTGTGTAATGAAAACATCCTGATTATTAAAACAATATGTATTACTTACATCATGTTTTATTGTATAAAAATACAATAATATAATATTAGTGTTACATTTTTTTTTTTTTTTTGATTGTAAGTGAAGCGAAGAAGTATTTATACATTTACTACATGTTTTTTTAATACATTTTATGTCTGTAAACAACGTTCAAATAATTATTGTTGCTCGAGGAAACTCGAACTTTTCACTGCAGTTATGTTTGGTTGAAAAATAAAAACTACCTAATGAAAAAATAAATAAATAGAACATAAAAATTTTTTATAGAAAATCGATTTTTTTTTTTATTATTTTAAACGATGACTCATCGTTGATGATTAACACATTTTTAATTTATATTTAAAGTCTTCGATAAAAGTTATTTATTTAATTGAAAAAACAAAATAGTTTTATAATAGTATACGTCGTTTTCGCTGATTTTCGCAGATTTTCGGGTTACCTCGGCAACAAGGGAAAAAATACGACTAATAATACTGAGCCCGGAACCGTTTTTCGTGACGGTTTATCGTTGCGTACAGATATAAATTAAATTACTCGATATATATATATGTATATAATATATACATATATCCTCCCCTTTCCCACCTCCTCCTCTTTCTCCTCTATGAAACAGTGACACATCCATCAGCATTATCGGCCTATTGTTTGCTTTATACGTTGCACGTCTCTCACAGAATTTCGATTCATGACGCAATATATTGAACGTATAGAACGGTAAAATAAATTACGTTTACTTTCCGTTTTTAGATAATTTTATTCATTTTCAGTGCGTATTTTTATACGCATTGCATACAATACGAGTTGTGAACGTGAAATTATCGGTTATACAAAAGCACCGCCGCGAGACATTTCGTTGTACGGACTTTCGTGGCGTACGGATACGTCCGAAACGGAGCTTATGTTTTATAAGTAAATAGCAAATCAGTTTTGAAATCGGTTGTACGATTAACAATTGTAACCCGGGCGTTCGTTTTTACAGCCGTAATGTTCGATTAGTCATTCGTCAAAAAAAGACGAATAAAGAAAACATAAACTAAATAAACAAAATCATTATCCGAAAACAATTATTTATTTATTAATTTTTTTTTTTCCCCGTTTAAAACGATAAGTAACACATTATATTATTAATCGTTTGTATTCGAAGACTGCGGGCGAACAATCGTTGTACGACAAACGAATAAAATAATTGCTCAATACAATGTACGTAAACGATTAGTTTTTAAAGTAATACGAACAAAACGCGTATGGAATACATAATAATAATAACAATTATAATTATAATAATAATAATAATAATAATTGAAATTCTATTATTTCGAATAATCGAACGACCGTTCGGGTTTAATTTATGCAAATTATTATTATTATTATTATTATTGCCAATTCGATGTCTGCACGTGTCGAAATAA